AAACCATGATTTCCTAGCTACTGTTACCAACGAAGCTAACCCTTCTTCGTCTGACATATCCAATGTTGTAATATTTTTATTATATCGTGGAGTATTATGTATTGATGATGTTTGTGTACGTTTGGAAATAGGATATGTAATTTGATCATGTGGTGTTAATGTCAAATTATTTTGACGAACGTTAGATCTTGTGCCTTTCGCTGTTGATTATGATTTAATGTATTAACGTTATGATTTAATAAAGTTTTGAAATTTTTTGAAACTTTTTTTTTTTTTTTTTAGGAGTTATTAACTTTATTATAATGTTATGGCACAAAAACACAGAGGACACCCTAAAGAGAGAGGCTAAAAAGGAATTATGCTTACCGGAGATTAAACTTCAATAGAATCGAACTCCGCTTGAGAGACGTTTCTGCCGGTTAATATAATATTTATGAATCGACTTCCTACAGGAGTCGAGTCTGCCGATCCCTTTTCTTATTTGTGAAACTACTTCGTAAAGAAGTCGTTTCTTCGGCTTATTACTACTAATTTGTGAATCAACTTCGCGGAGAAGTCGCGTCTGCCGATTTGTGTGAATCAACTTTAGTAAAAGTCGAGTCTTCAGCTAAAAATTAATATCATCTGAAACATTTCAGTTGGTGTTATTTAATAAATCAATAGACTACGGCTTTGAGCCACGGTCGCCAATTGTTAGAGAAACGTTCTACTGCAATCTGACTCTCCTCTAACTTTATTGTATCAGTGAATGGAAAAAAACATATGAACACCGAATTGATACGATAATCGACGAAACGAAAAAATGTGTCCCCTTGAATGAAGTGAAAACATGTATATATATAAGAGAAAAGTGTATAATCGATGGATGATGAATAGGCTGACTGTCCAAACAAAGAAAACAGATAGCGGACTGTACAGTCAGAAGGAAAGAAGCAGACAAACAATGTGTCACTGTATGCATATACAATGAAAGATAAAAAGAAAGAAAAAGATCATCAGTGAGAGGCGTGATCTCTCACAATGACATAACAGCGAAACGGCGAGATAATATACGTTTTAAAGGAAAGTTGATTGATAGTTTATTGATCTTTTAAGTGCAGAACGACAACGACAGAGCAATCAGATTATTCTTCAGCTCAAAAGTACTGTGCGGAAACTATACTTCCTTCTTGGGATATTTGAAAAATACTAAAAGTCCCTGGGGAAATGCACTTGGGTTGTCTTGAACGCCCTTTTGCGCGTAAGCATAGGAAACCTCTCTAACATGAGCATGGAAGAGTAAAAAACATTTAATTTATCTGTTAAATAATAATGGGATTTTGACTCTTAACTAATATATTTGTGTATAACTTACTTAACCAGATGTTTTCCTATGCGAAAATGACGATTTTTGACTAACGACCGAGAGAATCGGCGTTCATCTCATTCGAGAGAAGAACGTATGAGCCTTCAAATGCATCACTTAGTCACAATTTTTCATCGGAAGCGACTGAAATAAACGTCAACGTTTTTACGGAGAAAAGAACATGTCCAGTTAGAGAACTAAAGAACCTAAGAAAATATTATATCCATTGTTGTTCTTGTGCAACTTGACGTCCTGAGACCAAATCCGGTTTGAAAATTTTCTGCGATCAAACTTCGGCAAACGCGTAACATTTTAAAGTAAGCAGTTGGAATGTTTGTGCATGCAAAAGCTTTATGATGGCAGAAGATTTACCAGAACTTTATTGCATTTCTGCCAGACAGTAATAAACGCTCTATACACACACAAAGTTTCAGATTGCACAAACAACTCATATGCAATGCTGGAATGTTATTCACCATGGATAAGTCGTCACTCAAAATTATTCACAATATTCTTTATACAAAAAACAAGCTAAATCCAAAAGGCCTCAGTACGGTCTCTATGCATCCGTCGTCTGCAACTCATACAATGTATGTATGGTAGTGCCCAACTGAATTGTTGAATGTATCAGATGCGTCGTAGAATAGTAAAGTGAACTTAGCGCTACAATAATTGTATCAATATCGTCATTTGCCACGTATGGCAACAGTTTATCCAATGTTAGACGATCACCTTCTTCTTCTTCTTCTGCACTCAATTTCTCGAGAAACTGTTCCAACAGCCTCTGTGTTTCCTGCTGATGTTGATCGTGTAGATGTGCAACTGTATGGTGTAGCAGTATCAAACACTCCTCATGCTTCTTTAGATAATCTGTATCGTCGTTGTCTTCTTCTGTAGAAGTGTGGTTCATCATCATCTGGCGTCTCCTCACCCAGGTCTGTGTCATAAGAAAATATTTACTCCTGAGGCTGAGACTGTCCAATAATTGTTGACAAATTTCACTAACTTTCGAGTGGAGATTAGCAATGAAACAGCGATGTTGCAATTCTTCAATGCTGGACGTTTGTTGATTACACTCACTGATACGAGTGAGAGAGCTATCGATATTGTGAAGCATGCGAAACACGTCGATCTGCTGTTGAACGAGGGTGCGGTAGTGAAGGGAAGAAAAGGAGTTTTTTAGCCGGAACGTAGATGGTTCCATGTGAGCTTAAATAGCACACAACAACAGTCAATTTTCGAATTCTTATAATACTACAAAACTGTAAAAGGAGTGCGGAAGCTCGACTCAAAGGTCTGGTGTTCTGTTTTGCACAAGAATGAACAGATTTTCTACCTACTGCGCTTTTTTTATCATTTTTCTAGGGGTGATTGATGGTTACTGTAAACTAAGGTGAGACTAAATTAGTTTACGGAGTTTTAATAACCATAAATCTGTTGAAAATGGATGAACGAAACTTGTAGTTTACCTAGACTGTCACTGAAAAAATGATATATGCTTCGACAGGGAATCGAACCTCATGAGCAGGTAACAAGCCAGATACTCTACTACACTGTGAAGCACAGTCTAACACATATCATTTTTTCTATAAAAGGCTGGATCAAATAAGTAAATGTGAATTAGTTCTATTTTCGTTTTTTGTATTAAAAGCCGACAAATAAACCATGTTTCTCGCTACTAGAGCGAGAACATAACAGTTACTGTGCTTCATATCGTATACTCGCGAGATATAAGCGTAACATTTAAGCTGTTACAACATACCTTGCACTACTAAATTGCTTTGTACACTAATCAGTTGTTGAAATTTAGTCCTCTGTCTGTTCAGAAACTGTCCTTTTTCTACGTCGATTTTCGTCACCTTATCAATAACTGTCTTTTTCTTGTCATCGTGCTCTTCATTCACTTCGCCATCCACTTTTTCATGCGAATGCAGTAACAGTTGGTCATACACAAGATGCATAGTTCCCACTGCATCCTTACATTCCAGCAGTGTCTTCATAATATTCTCTTTCAACGTATCTAGTGCGAAAACCGGAAAGATTAACATCGTCAGAAAGATACCAATTGAAATACCAACAAAATTTTCTTCAATTCGAAGGAGAGCATAGTTTCCAGCTGGCAATGCATCACCGTAGGGTAGACGACCGAGATTGATGACTATCGGTGTTATTGCGGCAACCGAACCTGCATAGGACCAACTTGGCATTTGTTTTAAGTAACCGCAGATGAGAATCGAAGGTACAAACATGGCAAATATATAGGAGACATTATCGTGAACGGAGATATAGGTGACGTAACCGTACATTGCACCGAGTAATGTGCCCAAGATGCGAAGTTTCATGGCAGTGAATGCACCTCCAACTGTGTCGCCCTATTTAAAGACAGAAAAGTGCGAAAAAACCATTATTACCTGTAAGTGCCACTTCACATTCCGTTTATATAACCAATTTCTATACGTCTTCGTCGTTCTCCGACGTTGTTCTCCGACGAAAGGCCGCTTTCTCAGTTAGAAAATGTAACTTAAAACTTCTTTTGCCTTTTTTCACATATTTTTTGCTCAAACACTTATTGAATGCCATATTTAGTTAAAGGCTTCTATCATCGGGCAATGTAGCAGAATAGCAGACAAATTTATTTAATCGAATATCTCCTTCCAGTGTGGAGACATATCCCGATCGGGATGTACTCCCAAGTGAGATATATATCCCGATTGGGATATCATTTTTTGCAGCAAAATTTTTTCTATATCCCGAACGGGATATAGTTTGAAATTATATCCCGATCAGGATATAATTCGATATCCCGATTGGGATATCAAGAAAATCTATATCTCAATCAAGATATCAAGAACTTTAATTTCTAACTTGTAAGAAAAATGATAAATTTTAATTATATGAGAGCTGAATATTCTTCTCCTTTTTTATTCCTCCTCTCTAATGTTCCTAGTAGTGTCTTTTGCTTTCTCCAGCTGATCGAAGAGACACATATATCTTTTTAACAGACGTAAATAGATTTCTTCTATTAGACATCTTTCATATGTGAGTGTAGTATAAAA